TGAGGCATGGGAACTAGTGTCCACCTTACCATGCTACATGTATTCCTTGTTTGCCAGTACATGTCCATCATGTCATTGGCCAAAGCTACTGTATATTCTAGTCTTTAAAGCTTGAGTAAAAGCCAAAGAATATTTCTTCTCCTAACATCAATTCTGATTACAAACTACTTTTGTTAGATGTTATCTTTTACCAATGAACCATGTCTCCCTCCTTTCGATCTGGATTTTGAGACAGAGGCTCTGAAATGGTCAATGGACTACACCGCAAGTCAGGCTCTTGCTGCCTTTAACCTCAAGGTTCTTTAATGTGAATAACTTCAAGTCTAGATTTGCAAAGACATCAAATGTAGCAAGTACCCATTATGTCATAGTTGCTGGGTAGGTAATTTTCATCTGACCCAGGGACAGCCTAATATGCCAGAAAATAATCTGCCCCCACTAACTCCTATTCTGTATAGCTTTGTATTCCCTTTGTGAACTTGTGACAAATCTTCACAGGAACCATGGAGAAAGAACCTGCAGGTACATTTGATAGGTGTAGGAACAGCTCCCAGCAAGATTGGGAGTTTTACTGGTGCAGCTGGCAGCTCAAGCCTAAGGAGCAAGGAGCAGTGGCCTTTCATCACTGGATGACCCTAGGCAAAGGTGGCAGCTGCTGGAAACAGACATGAAGATCCTCAGTAGCAAGAAGCAGAATCAAGAACCCAAGTGCAAACTGTCATGTTGTGAGCATCTGCCAGCCTAGACATAGCTTCCCTATAGTCTTTTTGGTGAGAAAAAGGGGTTGGAGCCCCTGAGTCAATTGGAAACTTCAGATTTGGCTTTCCCTCTGTCCTATCCATCAGACTTGGCAGCTATCCCCTGATTGGTTCTCATTCTATACCTCATTTGCATAGACACAGCTAACCAATCAGGACCCACCTTGATCTCCATAACTCAGGTGCATGAGATGTCTGTTGTAAAATTTCTGGTGGGAGAAGAAAGGAGAAACTGTGTTTGCCCTTAGGATCAGCTGGATACAATATACTTCAAGACTCCTGCTTTTCTCCTGTCCAAGACCTGTCACATCTGACAGACTTGGTCTTCAGAGGAAAGCTCTCAGCTGGCATTCCAAGGCTTGCTGGAACCTAGATCTCCAACTCTTGCAGGCAATGTCTTGGTTAGTGTTGGGCTAGCATCAAGAAATTTGGACCTTGCCTTTTGCTGTTTGAGTTGCCACTCCTGTGTGGTAACTCTCTATCCTATACCAATGGTTACTCCCAAGTAAATAAATTCTTCCATGGTTGTTCACCCTTTGCTGGCTGTCCATGCCACTTTTGGAGAGGGGGCAAGGCAAGAGCCCAGTCAGAACCAGGAGAAGCCACTATCTGCCACTGAAGATAAAATATTCTGCTTCATGGCTGAGGCAAAATACAAAGAGGGGAGAAGCTCAAATATAAATATAAGAGAACAAGCTCACAGGCTATTAAAGCAGATATGAAACAAATAAGTGAGCATAAACCTTAATGAATACAACAGAAGACCCAATGAAAAATTAGTTCCTCTGGGAAGGGATCAGATTGTGAGGTTGGAGGAGCTTTTGGCAGGGGCGATTCCTAAAAGATTTGAGTGATAAAAATGTACTTGGGGTGGGGAGCTGGCAGCTGCACACATGTATACATACTGTCACACACACTCAACCCCTCCCACCAAGTATGGGGAATTACAGGCAGAATTCAGTGTGGTAAGGCTCAGTGGCATAACACAGTTGTTTTGTTCAGGGACAGGGATTCATGTAGCTCAGAACTTGAACTCATACTTGGCTATGTCACCAAGAATGACTTTGAACTGCTCTTCTTTCCTCTACTTACCAAATGGGGTTACCGCAGGCCACCATACCCTGTTTTTGAGGTACTGGGGACTGACGCAAGCACTCCTACCAATTTAGCAGCATCCTCAGCTTCAAAGCACTTTGAGATTGAAGTGGGAAGAGGTAGAAGCAGTGGTAGCAGGGACCTTTGACCCATGCTAGGCCAGTTTGGACCCAACTTTACCTTACAGGTTATATGGAGTCAGTGGAAGAAATTAGCCTGTGTTACCTACACTGAAGGGAGCCAGCCCCTCAGACCTGGAGCCCGTTGGAAATGGTTGGAATAGTCCCCAAGACAGAGTGGCAGGTGACCTATGGACAGGTTGGTTGCTGGGGGTCTCAATTGGGCCCATTTTTGCAAGCAGGTTATCATCACCTTGTGTTGAATCTTCACAGGTGCTTCTAGAATAGATATGGCAAGCAAGTCCTTCTTTTTGTGGCTGTACCTGAGTTCAATACAAAGAGAGAATAGCTAAAAATAAACACAGGAGAACAAACTTGTGCAGGCTCCAGCAACCAAAGAACTTGGATCCATCAGCTAATCATGATGGCCAGGTACATAGAGTCCTGTCTGTCTTTCCCAGCATGGGAGCTGGCTGTGAGGGATGCTGCAGGCATCTCCTTTGCTTTACCCTTTAAGACAAGAGGCCTGCTCTTGTCCTCTGATATCTCCCTACTTCTAGAAGTTACCTTGTGTGAGATTGAATCTGGACAAATGGCACTGGCTATGAGGAATATAGATGGAGTATGAGTATTGAGTACCTCATCTCCTCAGCTAACCAAGGTGGCGGGGGTGGGGGGGGGTAGGGGGCTGGGGGAATGAAGATGGTGGGTAGAGGATAGCCAAGGTAAAGGTAAAGGCAGGTTTCTCCAGCACCAGTTTGCAAGGGCTCCTTCCTTCTAGGGGAAGACTTAAAGAAGACAATCCACCCTTGCAGAAAGTGAAGAGACTGGGGTTTTCACAAGGCAACAGCTAAGGTTACCTCTAGCCACCAACAGCTGCAGAACTGTGCCAAAGACACAGCCTCCCATCATGCCTTTCTTGGCTCATAAAATGAGCTTCCAAGGCCAAAGGATATGAAGGAACACTTCTCATACCTAGCATTTTCCCTTCCTTGCGATTAAGGGTCTATTATTGTGCTGATGTTACTTCTTCCAGTAGACCATGCATATCATTTGGAAGTCAGCGGATATTGCCCAGTCAGCTTCCCTTGCTTTTAAAGAGGGAACTGGAAATCATGGGTATGTGAAGTGGCTTGTTCTGGTTACAGGATGCCCCTCAAGGCTGTCATCTCAGGGCAGGCACTGCATCTACAACTGTCCTGTCACTCACACAGACAAGTTCTAACATTCCAAGGCAGGGAAAGGCACTGCAGCTGGAGCTCAGTTCTTTGGAGCCCATTTACCTCAGGATGGGGATGTCCCACAGGCTATCTTAAACTTACTCATAAGATGGGGTTAGGTTGTGTGGGGCAGTGGTGGAGCACGCCTTTAATCCCAGGACTTGAGAGGCAGAGAAAGATGGAACCTGTAAGTTCAAGGCTAGCTGATAGAGAGCAAGTTTCAGGACAGTCAAGGATACACAGAGAAAACCTGTCTCGAACACCCCCCCCCCAGATGGGGTTAGTTTCACCTTGACATTTATCTTGAAAAGCATATTGAAAGCTTTTGGAAATGATACTTGGATGAGTGGGGCAGTCTTGACATACAGTAATACTGGACTGGAGAAATGGAACCCTATTTAGCATGGAAACTCCTATTCAATATGGCGGCTCCGGTGCCAAAAGAGCACTCATAAGGCCCAGTTTGGCAGTGGTGGAGGGAGAACAGGATCTTACAACCACATTTCTCCCTGCCAGCAGGTAACTCAGGACTGGCTCAGTCTTGCTGATCTCCTAGCATAAGCAATGTCAACAAATATCCCGCAGTTGTATATTATCCTTCTAGGCCTGAGAACGAACCAAGTATGGCTACAACGGCGGTTCTAAATCTGTGGGTCGAGGCCCTTTGGGGAGTACAGGGGTTTCCTAAGAACATTGGAAAACAGATTTTTACTTTATGGTTCATAACAGCACCAAGATTACAGTTATGAAATAGCAATGAAAATAATTTTATTGTTGGGGTCACCACTATGTGAGGAACTGTATTAAAAGGTCTTAGCATTAGGAATGTTGAGAAGTATTAAAGGGTTGCAGCATTAGGAAGGTTGAGAAGTGATGCTCTAGAACGGCCGCTTCACAGAGACTTTAGGGTATGCCAGTGGTTGGGTGTGAGGGTAGAAGATGGGAAGGCTGGCATAGATTATTTCTGGGTTGTCCAAAGCTGAGACTCTGGGTTTGAAATGAGGAGCTAATAGATTTGAGGAAGTAGCATGTCTCTGGGCATTCTATTCTTCTGTCTTTGCCTTTTCAAGCCTCAGTTTGCAGGCAGCTATGATGTAGTCAGATGATCCCTGAACCTCATGCCAAGAAGCTTGGTCCTTCCTCCTTTTCCCAGTGAAGGCTGAGCCATTCACCTTTCCTAGCCTAGATTTCCTTGTGTGGAGCATGAAGTGAAAACTTCTCCCAGGAGGTCTGTGTGCATAAACCTGCGGTCTACCAAATGTAAGTGGTTGCTCTTCGGCCTCCTGAAACAGTGTGGCCTTTCTAAAGCAAAGCCTCCCTAGCTCCGCGTCACCACCGAGGAGGCCACCTTCTCTGCACTTGGTCCTTCGCTCTGGTCCCTAAAACGCCACCAGGAGTCGCCCTTTGCCCGCCGAAATGGACCAAACTAATAACTCCTCCGGGCCGGGGCAGGCTGCCCTTCGCGCAGGGCTGTGGAGTGTGCCCCAGCTTCCCCCTTGGGGTCAGTCCTCTGCAGCGCCCACTCGGAGCCCCTCATCCCTTGCCGGTCGTCTCCTGCTCGGCCTAACCATGTCGGCTACAAGTTTGGCCCGGGCTGTTCCGGCCCCTGCCGCACCCACGTACGGGTACAGAGGTCCCGGCCGCCAGCGAAAGCCCCCGCCAGCGAGCAGAGAAATGCTGGCTACCGCAGCCCCGAAGGGACGCCCCCTCCCCGGCCCGCCGCGTGCCGGGCCGCCGCAATTCCCCCGTTGCCCGCCGGGCGGCGCCCCAGTGCCTCTCCGCGCGCCTCCCGCGCTGCCCGCTCCCGGCTCGCTCGCAGCCGGACACAGACTCTGCCTTCGGCTGCTGGCGGATCGAGCTGGAGCCGCCGCCGCCGCTGCTGCGGAAGAAAAAAAAAAAAAAAAAAAAAAAAAAAAAAAAAAAAGAAAACAACAGCCCGGCCGCCGGCCGAGCAGCGTCGGGTTCCCGGCTTGGCGCCCGGAGTGTGGAGCCGCCCAGGTAAGGGCAGAGGCCCCCGCGCCGCCCCCGGCCCGCGCCCTGCGCTGTCCCCGCGCCCCCCGGGGCTGCGCCGCACCCCGACTTCTGACGTCTCCGCCGCTCGCTCCCTCCGGGCCTCGGCCCGCACCCTGCCTAGCCCGGCTCCCGCCTCCAGCTGCCCAGTCCCCTGCACTCCGATGCCTGCGTCCCTTGATTCTCCACCGAGACCCCGCCACCCTGCCCCGTACTTCCTCTTGTCTCCATCCCCGCCTGCTTCCCCCTGCGCATCCTCTTCTCGGTTCCGACCCTCCCGCTGTGATCCTCCCTCTTCCTAGTCCAACTCCCAGCCCAGCCTCTGCCCCCTGCAGGGATGACGGCCCCTTCCCGACACTGGCGATTCTCCCCTGCCTCGTCACCCTTGGCTTCTCCTGCGGGCCGCTCTTCCCCGCTACAATCCCCCGTCAGACCAGCTCGGCTCCCAAGCCCCCTTTCCCCTTCCCTCATTGCCATCAGTCTTGACCACCCCTGTCCGGGCCCTGGACTCCGGCCACCACCACACCCCCAATCTTGCACGCCGTCTTGCTTTGGGCCAAGCTAGCGTCCTATCAGGAATGACCCTCCTTCCTGAGACTAATGGGCCTCTTAGCCATCCCACCCTAGTTCACCCGAGTGGGAAGTGAGGGAGAAACTCTGGAGACCTGCATTGGGCGCTGGAAGGGGGAAGGGGCTAGGGGGAGGGGGAGGGGGAGCTCAGGAGATGTTCTTCAGTGAGGACCGGGCTGAGCCTGAATGGCTCCAACCTGGCAGGGGGGGGAAGGCGCCCTGGTGACAGCTGGGACAGGGGGTTCGTCCAAGGCGCCAAGAGCACCTGTACCTCCCTCCCTTGGCTCCCTGGAGCTGAGGAAAGTGAGGGAGGAGGTGGTATCTGGGGAGAGTTGGCCCGGGACTTTGGGGTGGGGGGGAGGCGCGACCAAAGGGATAGACAGGGCCCTCTGGCCAGGCTGCTTGGCAGTGGCCGGGCCATGCAGGCTGAGCTGGTCCCCGCCTGGACCTTGGGCTGTATGGCTCTTGGCATCTGTACTTGATGCTGCCATCTTCCTCCTGGTGCTGTTGTCTGGTGATGCCACGCGGTGCCACCTCCCTGCCTCCCTCCAGTGGTTCTTCTGGGCATGTCTCCCAGGGGCCTGGGTTGTCTGGAAAGAGGAGGGGAACTCTGGCTGGGCCTGGCCACTGTGCCTGGCAAGTAGGCATCTCTGAAGACCAGAGCAGGAGGGCTAGGGATTGGCCAAGAGGGTTGAGCCCTGCCAGGGACAAAGAGAACTATCTTCTCTTTGACTCCCATGGGTCCTCTGGTAGTAGTGTCCCTTCCAGGAGCACCTGGAAAGGCTAGCCTTGCATTGCCTGGGATGGAACTGCAGGGGTGTGGCTTGGAAAGAAGCAATCCTGCCTTGCCTTAGTCCTGGAATGTCCTGGTGGTGGCAAGGGGATGGAGAGATCGGCTCTGTTCCAGGTCTGCCAGGGAAGGAAGCCCCTGGAATTCCACTGGGCATCCTCAAGCTGGCTTTATTTGCAGAAGCAGCGGCTCATGCTTCATCGTTAATCAGGTTTATTATTTTCCTCACTGGCTGGATGTGTTCCTCAAGGTCGTGACCCTTTAGAGAGTTAATCTAATATGCACACGTTATAGTGTCTGGGTTTGTTTCATTTCCCACATTATGTTCATTTCTTGTGGCCTGAGCTTGCCCACCACACTTGTACCTGTCTCTTCAGCTCCAGCCCCCTGACTTCCTGGACTTGTCACTTGAGACCTGGAGGTCAGGCTGCCTCTAGCAGCAGGGGGAGAGCAGATTGGTGGAAGGGGGGTGTTGAGTTTCCCACCCTCTCCTCTAGACACCTCAGTCATTGACTGAAGCTTTTCCAGCTCTGAAAGTTTGTTGTAAAGCCCTCACTTGCCAGTTTGGCTTCTTTTAGAATGCAGAGGGAACTTTTGCATGATAGAGAGATCCTTAGGAGCTCAGCAGCTTCCTGGGGACCTCAGCCCCCCCCCCCCGCCCCCCAGAGACAGGAAGGAAAACCAGCCTGGGTGAAAAGAAAAGACCAGAAGGAGGCTAGCTCTGGTGTGCTTGCTGAGGGTAACTGTGTGTTGTGCCTGGGAAGAGGGAACTCTTGTCCAGCCGCAGAACACTCATCCCTTCTGAGTGACAGACCTCTGAATGCTTGCAGGAGGCTCACTTCAGCCTCAGTAGCACTTGCTGGGCCTGCCAGCAGCCCTGTCTAGAGGCCTGTTGATTGGTCCACAGTTGCATTTGTCCCACACTCTGGTTTGCAGCGCTGTGCTCTTGGGCCAGTCCTTGTTGCCCTGCTCTCAGCTGCTCTGAAAACCCCTCCCAGCTTATGCTTTTGGTTTGCCCTTTTATTAGCACTCTCTCCAGCATCAGCGTAGCTGACCACTTTGGCTTCCCACAGTGGGGTTCTCACAGATTGCTCCATCTCAAGAGCCCTTAGCATCCATGGGCTACAGGATATAGACTAGAGAACTTAGCTTAGAAGTGAAGGCCCTCTGTGTATGGGTCCCAGCATCATGTCATGCCATGGTCTCTGGAATGAACTGCTTGCCCTTCAGCACAAGTACCTCATGTTATAATATATGCCCATCCTCCTTTCTGCCCTGCATAATTTCCTGAGCAACCTTCATGGGGCAACTAGAACCTTCCATAGCATGGCAAGGCAGATGTTTCAGCTGCTAATTAGAGACACCTGAGTTCCCATCCCCACACGGTTCCCTGCATGACCTTGGCTGAGCTGCCTAATTTCTCTAAGCCTCCCTTTTCTCACCTGTAAAACCAGGAGAGTGTCTGCTTCAGAGGCCTGACACCATGGGATGTGAGCATACAGGGATGTCATTTGTCATGAGCAAATGGCATCCCAGGTGGGAATCCAGGATGTATTCCCTGTGTGGTCTCTCCTCCACTTTCTCTTGGTGGGTGGGGTCAGCTACTAGTTCTGCCTGGTCCTGAAAGTGATCTGGTCCTGAAAGTATGTGTCCTCACCAGTGACTCCCTTGAGGAGCAAAGCCTTTGCCTGACACCTGTTCACATTTTCCATCCTTCACCAGAGCAGCACTGCCCTTCAGCCCCTGTCACCTGGCTTTATTCACAGTGGGGACATGAGAACTGGATGCTACTTGATTCAACATTTTCTATGAAAAATAGAGGATACCTTATGTTGAACAAATCCCATATGAAAAAATAGTACTATACCACAGAACCAGGCTGGCTGGGAAGGAAGAAAGGAAGGAAGGAAGCAAGCAATTTACTATTATATTAGCTGAGAACTCCCTTGTTTTGCTCTGTGAATTAGATCTGAGCTTTTGTGTCTTTACAAATGAAGTCGGAGGTCCCAGGGGGCTCTGCAATATTCCATACTCAGTCCTGTGACATGAACCAGTGACAACTTCAGACTCTGGCTTCCTCCTTAATCATGGGCAGCATTTGCTTACAAACACAGGAGTGGCTGGACACCCCGTTGACTTACCTGCAGTCCAGGGTATCCACAGAGTCCCTTCACGTAGGACAGGGCTCTGTCCATCCTTCTTTCCACCCATATAGGTTTTGGGTGGGAAGTGTTCCAGGTACCTGTTCTGGCTGAACATGACAACTTGATTGTTCCGTGTGTGTATGTGCTGATGGATGTGTGAAGCAGGCTGGAGCCCACAGGGGCCCAGGGATAGGAAGGCTTCCCTGTAGGAAGACTGAGTAGGAACTGTGCAGTCAGTGCGAGGGGAGAGGGAACAGGGGGACTAGCAGACTGGGCAGGGCAGGTGAAGGTGTGTCTGCTCCAAGGGCTCTGTTGGAGGAGCTGTGGAGACTTAACTGAATCCAAGAAGTCTGTGAACGCCGAAGGGGAAAAAAAGACTCGGGTGACTGCAGCAGGCTTGGCGGAGTTGTTGAAGACGCTTGGGCAGTATAGTGTTATGCTGACAAGGGGGTTGAGGGCTAAGCGGGGGTGATGGCAACAGAAAGGGGGACTTGAATGACATTTCCAAGGCACAGCAGAACGTGTGGACAGATTGGTAACAGCAGATGAAGGAGCAGGAAGTGTTGGGATAACTTTCAGATTTCTAGCCCAGGAGCCCAGAGAGAATGGTGATGCAGCTTTTAGAAATAAGAAAGCCAGAAGGGGACCGGCTCTGCCCAGACTGTGGGGAACATTTGGGGACTGGGCTGGGTGGTCCATGGAGTTCCTGGATAGATAGCAACTGAGCAGCCAAGGGCAGAGCCGAGCCTCAGGGTGCTGCCAGGGACTGTCACATAGCTGGTTTGATGCTGGGGTCTCATCCTCTGTCCTCCTGTCAACGCCGCTGCCCCTCTTCATGACACACGGACCCTGTGTCCAGTGCTAGCTCCTCTCAGTGCCTGTCACTTCCTGGAGACCAAGTGGGATTTCTGTCTGAGCAGTCAGGAGCCACTATATCTTTGCTCATTGAGATGTCCCTAAGTGTGACAAAGCAGGTGCTAGTAAATATTTGTCCTACTTAAGGGGCTTCAACTCAGGCTGATCCAGTGTTTGCCACAGAGAAAAATGCATAGACTGTGTTGCCCAGAGGCTGCAGGGGGCGGTCCCAGCCTCAATGCTCAAACGACACTTCCTGATTTTTGTGATCACTCCTCTTATTTGTCACCAGCCAGAGGGTCTTGCTATATGCAGGCAACAGCCTCAAGGACTGCCAGACCCCCAATCTGGCAGCCCTCGGGTTCTTACTCCTGAGTTTCAGGCTGTATCCGAAGGCTGTTTAGGACTAGAAAGCCTGTGAGAAGTCCACTTTGTGAGCTTCGTAAGCCCTCCTCATCCGTATCTCAGCCTCCTCATCCGTATCTCAGCCTCCTCATCCATATCTCAACCTCCTCATCTGTATCTCAGCCTCCTCATCCGTATCTCAGCCTCCTCATCCGTATCTCAGCCTCCTCATCCGTATCTCAGCCTCCTCATCCGTATCTCAGCCTCCTCATCCGTATCTCAGC